CCTGATGCTTCCTCCGCCCTCATATACCCCTTCCCCCAACCCTGATCTAACACCAGGCTAGGATGTAGAGACCAAATGTCTTGACATTATAAAAGACTGCTTTTTGAAGTAGTTAGCCCTGGAACCTCAAGAGGAAACCCCATTCTTGAATTAGTCCCAAGCAATGAACAGGATTTGGTGCAAAAGAGTCAGTGTTACTGAGCTGTTTAGCAATAATGACCACAACGCAAATGGGTTTGACATTAATAAAGGAGGGGAGACAAAATCTACTGCAGTAGCCTTTTATTTCCAAAAGGAGACTACACCAAAATAAGGAAGCTAATTAGACAGAAGTTAAAAGGGACCCCCACCCAAGGAGGTGAGGGACTTGCAAGGAGCAAGGAAATGCTTAAGAGCACCATATTTGCAGCACAAAGCAAATGCATACCACTATTTTTTTAAAAATCCCTAAAGCAGACCAAAAGAGTAAAATAAAAAAAGAACACAAACTCTGGCAAATCAAATGAAACCAACCAACTATGAAACAGAAAACTGCAATAAGACCAGCCACAGGAGAATATGAGAAGAAACTTCCTAAGGTACAAAAGATAACAATAGAAATTTCTTTAAGTACATTAGAAGCCAAAGACATGCTGGGGGTCCATTGGGCTTTTGAATGATCAGGGTGTAAAGCAGGCACTAAAGGATGACAGGCCATTGCTGGGAAACATAAATGCATTTCTTGCATCCGTTTTTACTGTTGAAGACATTAAGGGAATAGTCCATAGCCCACAACATGACTAGATTCACTCCTTTCCAGTTTGGGTCAGCTTCACTGACTTGTCCCTAAGGTTTCAACAGATGAGTTTATAGAGGAAATTGATAAACTAAAGAGTAGAAGAATCACTAGGACCTGATGGTATTCTGAAGGTGCTCAGAGCTGAAACTGCTTAGCTCTTAACTATAATATGCAATACATCACTAAAAACAGCCTTGGTACCAGAGGAGTGAGGGGTTACCACTATGACTCGCATATTTAAAGAGAGGCTCTAAAAGTAACGCAGGGAACTACAGGCTGATAAGCCCAACTTCAGTTCCTGGAAAACTGGTAGAAACAATAATAAAAATAAAACAATTGTTCAGCATATAGATTAAAGTGACTTGTCAGGAAGGACTCAACACAGCTTTGTCAAAGGAAAAATCATGCCTCACCAACCTACTAGAGTTCCTTGAGGGTGTCAATAAAGTAGATGGATAGGGTATGGTTGGTATAGTGTATTTGGACTTCCAAAAAGCCTTTGACGAGGTCTCCCATGATATTCTTAACTAAGTTAGGTAGTGACAGCATTACAGGGAACATCCACTCATGGATTAGAAACTGGTTCAAAGGTAGAAAGCAAAGAGCACTCAGTTTTCAGGATGGAAAGAGATAAACATCAAGATGCCTCAGGGATCTGTGCTGGGAGCAGTGCTGTTTAGCATATGCATAAGTGCTCTGGCAAAGGGGTGAATATCAAAGTGGCCAAATTTGTGGATAGGAAAATTATTCAAAGTAGTAAAGATCAAGGCAGACTGTAATGATGTACAGAAGGATTTGGCACCACTGAGTGAATGGGAAACTAAATGGCAAATGAAATTCAATTAAAATGTAGTTAAGTATAAAGTGATGCACTTAGGCAAAAATAACACAAATTATACCTACACTATGATGGGCTCTAGATTAGCTGTTACCACACAGAAAAGAGATCTGGGAGTCATTGTGGACAGTTCACTAAAAACCATCAACATTGTGCTCAGAAGCCATCAAAAAGGCAAACAAAATATGTTAGGGATTATTAAGAAGGGAATTGTAAACTAAATGAAAGGCATCATCATGCCCCTTTAAAAATCTGTGATACACTTGCATCTTGAATACTGTGCCCAGTTCTGGTGCCCTCACCTCAAAAAAGGATATAGAAGAACTAGAGGAGGTCCAGAGAAAGACAACAGGGATGATTAGTGGTATGGAGGGGCTTCCATACAACATTGGGGGGGGGGGCGGGGACATAAGGGTTT